CCTGCCTCCGGCCGCCCCGGCGCCCCCCCGACCCGGGTCGTTTCGGCCGGCCCGGGGGCGTACCAGCCCTGTAGGAGCCGTTTCCTCCGGGAGGCCCCTCACAGCCCCCGCTTTGGCAGGCAAAGTTGCGCTGCGCCGCTGCCGGCCTTCCGGAGGGGGTCCCCGGGACCCGAGCGCGAAGAGAAGGGAAAAACTTGCAGCTCTTTCGTCAGACTTTATGCCTTTTTTATTTGTTTCTCCGTTATTTTAAATGCTCACAGCTGGTAGTTGTGCATGAAAAGCATAAGAAATGATAGAATTAATGAAATTACTCTTAATTTCTGTCTCTTCTCATGAGTGACCCAAGGTGAAAAAAGCTGCTGTGTTCAGCGTACCTCAGGAACGCGGATGGTAACGACGTTACCGGCACACGACAGGATAAACTTCTGTGGGCTTGAGAGCTGCTGTGCAGAGTAGAAAAAAATAATGAGTAGATAGTAGTGACTGCAATCCAGTTACAATACCTCTTACTGTAATTTATTTTTAAATGTTTGGGGCTGAGGTTTTCCACGCAGTTTCAGTCCCCCAAATAGTTTATTTCATCACTGTTTTATCACTATCTAATATTTATTGCTCTAATCGTGGACTGATGCTTTTATCCAGATTTGTTTTTTGACTGTGGGAAGGAAATTTTAGGGCTTGCATGATATCAGGTGTAGGTACAGGAGCACAAGAATTGCGGTAGCAGAACAGTCTAGTTTTTGCCATGCTTTTTATCTCCTTTTCATGTTCTCATCTGTGCCATATGCACCCAAGCAAGGAAAGAAAGTGTATGCTTAAGCCAAGCCTGAGTAAAAACCTGCGTGGGATGTTTTTGAGTGTCAGGACCAACGGAAAACGGCATTCTTGTCTCATGTTTTAACCTCATATATTGTGAGTAGTTAGTTAAGGATGACTGAATTTTGGGAAGTGAAGCATAAATTTTGTGTGCAGCCTTTATGAAGACAGATGTTAGCTATGTCTCGAATACATAAGGTATAGCTAAGCATTTTTTTTTAATTCCTGTGCCATTACACATGGCAAAAAAGGTGTAACAATAAATACCAACCTTGCAAAAAAAGTGCTGTGCCAAAATGGTCACTTTCCATACGCACTCCATCATTAGCCATGTAGTCTGTACTGCCAAAACAGAAATATCAACTGGTTTCATACATACCAATGAACAGTTTTTAGCTGGTCATTACACTCAGTTACTATCCACCAGAAGCCTTAGTTGAAAGAATCTGTATACTATTGCTCATACGGATCACTCTTTACTGTACGACTTCTGACACACTGGTGTAGGAATGACAATGTTTTTGAAGTTTTGTGTGAGAAATTGCTTGGCCTCATTTTTGTTATGTAGAAGACAAGATTGACCCTTCCTAGGAATATAAATGTCTGCGCTTTTATTGAAGTGAAAGGGTTTGATGGAGGCAACAGAATTTAGCCCATGCAAAAGCACAGCAAAGTAATGATGTCCTATATTGATAAGGAGAAAAGCTAGGTGAATTTAGGGAAATCTGAATTGATGGGGTCACTTCCTTTTATGCTCACTGGTGGCTTTAATGCTTTTTAAACAAAAAAATTTTTCATAGGTGTGTTTGGGAGCGCATTTCATGCAGCAGAAGTTTAAGAGAACAATATTGTCCATAAATACCGTACAAAGACTCCACTGTTAGAACCACAACTGAAGCACAGTCATACAATAAGTTCTTACCATTTACTTCATGACCAAAATGCTAGGACAATCAGGACACTGGGACCTTGTGACTTCTCCAATGCTCCAGTTTTCATGCCTGAGTTTGCCACATTCTCATCTTTGCAAGCTTGGGAATAGCCAGCAAAATCCTCACTGAGGGCTATTGTGCAAGGGTATTTTCATCTAGTCCCTGTGTGTTGTGGTGCCGAGATCAAGCAAACCAAAATAGGCAGTTCTTGGGGCTGTGTCTCAGTCATTCCCTTTAGGAATAGTGTGTGCACTGTCTACGTCAGTGGAAAGGGAAAATGAAACTCGGGTGTGCCAACAGGCTGCTGCCTTCAAGTGCCCCCCTTTATGTTTCGTGGTTTATTGGAACGTGTGAGAGGCTTTTATAAAAATAGGAACCTGCTTCAAAAATTGTTCATTGTAGTGCTTTACAGCAGGGGACGGGAGAGGATTATGTAGTAGAATACAAATGAAAATATAATTCAACTTTGTTCAGTATCTATTGAAAAGGAAAGAGGAACTTATTTATCTACCTGTAGTCTTCTTCAGTATTTTTTTTTTAGACAGGTGGAGAAACTGTCACATTTTTCATTTCTGCCGATGTTAATTCATATTGTATAGCCAAATGAGTAGCCACACCAACTTCAGTGGGATTGTGTGTATAAGTGCTGCTTATCATGACACACTGGTGGAATGGAGTTTAAACTGACATTTAAGAAGTGCTTATCCACTCAGGCCGTAAAAAAGAAACTATTTTTACAATGGAAAATTTCCTGCTGTGTATAAATGTCAAGAATTAACTCTATTGATTAACTCAACTTTTAGAACACCCTAATTACAACAGCTCCTGATAAGGAAACATGGATTAATGACAGTGTTTATTGGGATGCAAACAAAGTGAAAAAGAAGTAGACAGCAACTGTGAACTCAAGGTAAAAAGAAATTCAATTTGTAAATTCCAATCGACATTGTTCAGAAAACTTCCGTACAGCAACAGAACTGCTTAGCACAGAGAAAGGAAGGGAGGCCACAGGAGCTGCTGTTTTCTCCTGTTGATATAACGTTATTAATGTTGATGGCATTTCTCCAGCAAATGTTTCACATAAATCATGTATCATCACTTGTGACAGAATGATGGCATAAAGGAATATTACAGTTGCCCTGTGATGTACCTTAAGCTAATTGCTTGCATAGGTTTCATTAGTTTTCAACTGACAGGAGAGAAACTGATTAAAAACATGGATTTATGTTCTGATGTACACTTCTCAGATGGTGTTAAGACTTCTAAATCTTCTCCCTCTCTTCTGTCCTTACCCATTCCAGATCTCTGTAATGTCCTTTTTCTATTATTCTAATTTCTTCTGTCTCTTCCCACGTGTAGGGTTGTTTGTCACATCTCTAACTCCATCCTTTCCACCTTCGTACTCCACCTGCTATCAATCCGTTGGTCCTTCCCTTTCCTTGTTCCTTCCAGATCCATTCTGTCTTCTACGCTGTATGATTTCTGGGGCTTTCCATACCCATTTAAGACTCTCACAGTTGCATCTTTTCTTCAGTACTCTGATTCTTAACTCTTGTCTAATACAGTGTTTCCAGACCTATAGTCCTTACGTTTTGTTTCTTCGTTTTCAAGAAGGACATGTTTCTAATGCTTTGATTTGAAAAAAACAGGAAAGACCTACCTAGCCCATCCCTAGACTGACGCTCCAGGTCGCAGCTACTGCTGGTAGGTTCCTATGCTTCGATTTCTCATAAGGGAGCCTCACTGCCCATTGCACACAAATATTGCTGACGTATGGAGTGCAGAAAGCAAAACCTGTCTGTGACTGAGGGCTAGCCTGCTCTCGCAGAAGAACTTTAAGACACAGTGACAGCTAAGCGGCACCAGGCAGCGGTGCAACAGAGCCTACGTGCAACTACGAGCCTGGGTAGCTCTCAAACTACTAGAAATGAGCATTTTGCTTTTCTTTGGCACCTGCCACTGCTGC